GAGAGACCAAGGCAAAGGAGCCCATCTGCTGTCCTCTAGGAAAAGAAAACCACCACGCCTGGAGCACATCTTTGCCTGCTCCGGTCTGAAGAGGGAGGTCTGCGGCGTAGCCTACCACCGGGAGTGGCAGTAATCCCACAGGGGTACTTCTCTGGCAGTTTAAATCCACCAGCGGGAGAAAGATGGGCACTTGTCTCCTGTGGGATCCAGAGTTTGTTTCTAAAACCACACTGGACATTGTTATGAGCCAGTTCCCACAGAAATTAGTTGAATTGAGGAGGGCTCTAGGTAAGGACCACTGTCTAAAGCTGAGGGCTGGGGGCTGTCAGGTGTAATGGTCAGAAGTTCCGGTTGTGCCAGCACTGAGCTGCTCACAGCCCACAGAGATGAAGTGCTATCCCAGTGGGCTTGGAGGATAGAGTGGAAGTCCAGGGTCCAGGAGCCCTCTGTTGAGAATCCAGGGGGTGTGAACAACACCCAGAATCTGGAGACCAAAGTCCAAGTGGTCTTAAGGAATTGAGGATTATTTTCAAGCCTTGAGAATGGACATCATTTGTTCTTCTGGCTTCTGGACTTGCCTTGTACCTCTTAAGAGCTCTGGCCATGTAGTTCTTAGTGAGTTGCGTTGCTCACCCAAAGGTGGCGCCTCTGGTGGTTGGAATCCACTAACAGCATCTCAAGAAAACCATGAACAACCTTCTCTCCTGCAATTTACAGCCTCTGAAAACTCATAGGAGTTAGTTCTGACTATAAGGCAAGGAGTTTTCAGTTTAGCGCTGCCTGTGAGTTTAATCGCATCATTTCCCCCAGCTGTAACAGAAATATCTACCTGCGTGCCTGCTTTGAATGCAAGCTGGTCACAAACTAAGAGAATTTCGTCCCAGGATAGAATACATCCAAAACTGCACCAATATTCATCTACTTTGGAAGATGAGATTTTGGACTTTGGAGTTACATTTTAATTGATAGAATAGAGAGACACTGCTTTGTATGTGGTAAAGACATGAATTTTAGGATACCAAAAGGTAAAATATTATTGATTGAATTGCGTGCTCCTAAAATGTGCAACAATTCTTTATTCTTATGGCTGAAATTCCATTTGGGAATGAGTTTTGAGTCTTTGTTGTGCTAACAAGATGAGAGTCATTGACTCATTCACTCTAGTGGCAAAAGATCCTACCTTGGGATCAGGAGCTCAGCTTTCTCCAGGCTAGGTCACCAGAGCTCCCAGCCACAAGACTCATTATCATCACCATCTCATTGCAATTGGGTCAGAACCAATTTATAGCTGACCCTCTGGCGGGTTTTTTGTTGTGAAGGCTGTTGAGGAGGACTCTTAGCAACCCTATCAACAGACATGAACTCTACCCTATCCTGTGACAGCTGCATCATCTCTGATACACTTGACCCATTGCTGCAATCTTGTTGAGGGTCTTCCTCTCTTCCAGTGACACTCCAAGGCTGTAATCACAGGGTAGGAAATTGCTCATCCTTTTTGATTGAAGCTGCTGGTGGATTCAAACCACCAGACGGTTCTGCCTTTTGGGCTGGCAGCACAACTCCCTACCGACTATGCCACTCGTATAGGTATCATTTGAGATACAAGATTAAAACGAACAAGCCAGGAAGCCAGAGCTGGGCTAAGATGTAGATCTCTTAGAAATCAGAAGCTAAAGCAACAAGGAGTCTGGAGTCCAAGGAGAAAGGATGTTTCCCCCTAAGGCAGACTAGAGCCAATTCAAGGCTTCTAGCCTCCTAAACCGGGAAGGAGTAAATTTGCTTGTTAAAGCCACTTACTTGTGTTATTTCTGTTACAGCAGCACCGGATAGGAGAGGCAAGGAAACCGTATGGTAGAAGATATTCCCATAAAATTATGAGCAGAGGGGTCCCTTTGTGATTGGTTTAGACTCTAGATTGCAACTTTGACATTATAACTTAAAACTTATCAAGGAGATTTCTGCTTTGCAACTGACATCTTAAATTGAAGAGTTACTTGAACTGGGACCTAATGTGTTTTCTGTAATTAGTTCCTTTGAGGTCAGTTTTCATTGACACAGAATTCCTTTAACATTAAACCCTCCATTAGCAATGTCTTTATTGTTGAAATTAACATCTGAAATAAAAAGTTAATCTTTTCAGATGAGACTGTAAATTCCAGGTTTCTGTTTGTTTGACAGAGGTGAGATTTTCTTATGCAAAATGCCTTAATAGTGAATGCTATTAAATCAGTTTAAGGGAAAAGAGGGAAGCTAAATAAAACATGCATTAATAAGAAATGGGAAGTTTAATTATATTAGTGCTTAAATTTTGAAAGAGCAACTAATGTCCATCTCATTTTGAACTCTGTATTATAATCCTGGTTATTTACACATATATCTAAACCTGTTATGCTTTATATACTTGTCAGTTCTGTTTTTATCCCCAAGAAATTTGACACAGATCACCTCAGATGGCTGATGGTGTTCAAGATATGTTGAATAATGATACTTTGATCGCTGATGGATTTGGAGATATATGAATGGAACTATGTATTTAAAAGTTAAGAGATGAAGAACAGAATATGCAATGATTTACTACTCCTAAAATATTTTATTAAGCAAAAAAAATGGTTCATAATTAAACATGTTTACATAGTTGTAGTTGGCTATTATGTTCTGTGTTGGCAGAAGAGAAATGAAAATGTTTTCCTTCTTTAGCATCTGTGTTGTCACCATACGAATTATTTACATACTTCTTGAAGTTTGTTTATATATGAAACATGGGAGTCTATTCAACAGTGCTTAATTGAAAGCCAAGCGCACTCATCAAATTCATATAATTAATTTACCTGCAATATGTGTAATGCTAAGGGATGCAGAAATCAGTGGGACTACTGGGCTCTTAAAAAGGTGAGACACACCCATGTGTTTATCTTGTGCTTCCACACACCCTACTGAGTCGAAAGAAAATATTTTTTCTGCAAAATTCTCCTTCATGTATTGTTAAAGACAATGCCCCAATACTTAAAAAGGTGATGCTTTTTGTACAGTGGAGATAGATGATAGCTTTGGGTTTACGGAAAGGTTCCCTTAATTCATGGACAGGAGTATAATCAGTGATGGTTACTCCAGTAAATATTGAATTTAAAATAGATTATTTCCCCCCCCCTTCTTATACAGATAGCTTTAAACTTACTAGATTTAGGTAAAAACTAGTTTTTATTTTTGTCTTTTGGAGACTGGTACTTTATGTTGTTCAGGATATATCATGCAGTGGTATCCCAAACTGATATCTGAGGCTTCTCAGCCAGATCTACAGTCTCTACATTTTCTTTTCTAAGTGTTTCATTCATCTCACACTCTCAAAGGCAAGAAAAATATTAATGTGGGCAAGTGAAAGAACAATCAGACGGAAGTACTTAAAGTTGAACAAAACAAGAAATACTAATCTGGACAGAAAACAACTATTAACATATCAAGCCATACTCACCCACAGACACATGATTCTTTTTTTTAAGAACAGATTTTCATATTGCAGTAAAAGCAGGCTTAAATGCCATCAATATTTCAGACGATACCACTCATAACTTGGGGCCAGCCACACCTGACCGGATAGTGTCCTTCACACAGCACACATGGTTCCCACATGAGCGCGAGCTTTACAAAAACCTTGCTGTCTGTCCATGTTTCCTTGACGAGTGGATTTTGTGAAATTAAATGTCTCTAAAGTTATCCCGAATACTCCAGCACAGACTTTTACCATTAGCAATATGCTTTCTTATTTTGCAGCCATGCAGCTCCATTTATTTGACTGCAACTATGATCTCACTTTAGGAATTATTATAAATGGTCTGAAAACTCACTTAATTATAATGTGTTTCCAGCTATCCACTTTGGGGTCAGCGCAGTTAAAAGGCAGAATTGGGGGGGAATACATAACTTCCTCAAAGCTTTGATGTCTTTGGGTGGTCTCTTAATAGATGATTGTATCTTAATTTTACAGAATGGTGGTTTTTATCTGGTTCAGAACAATGTCACTCGTACAAAATTTCACCCAGCTGTGTAATTAATTAACTCTATTATTTTGAATCTCTTCATTTTCACACAGACGTACGAGTTTTGAGTTCAATTTTTATAGTCTTGTCTAGCTTTTATGACTTAATAAACATGCCCGATCAATAAAAAAGAGGGGGGAGTTCTTCCTAGGAAAAGGCGAAAAGGAAAGAAGTGTTGGCGAGCTGCTTTGGGTAAAGAGCAAGAGAGAAGCTAGCAAGTAAAGCGAAACCCTAAAAAATAAAAATAATCTCAGAAACCCACCAATCTGCAAACACTTCATAGAGTTTAGCAACTCTCCTTAGTGCCTATTTTCTTACCTCTTGCTCCTTTAGGAAAAAAATATCAAGATTATGCTTTATTTTCCGGCCAGATGTATGTCAAGTTAAGAAACGTTATTTACAGGAGTGACTTTAAGGCTGCCACATTTGATTCACCTTATGACACTCTTCAGCATCTCTGACCCAAGCCCGAACTCTAAGAGAGATTTCTCGCATCTAGGCAACAAGAAGCAGTAAACACTTTTTTGCAAAGTCCGACGACAACGCAAAGCCAAGTAATAAATGTTCCTTTTTTTTTGGCCCCTCAGTGCCAAACCAGAGGCCTCCCTTTACCTCCATCCTACCAGAAGGGGGACCTTTCCACTTTCAGATGCTCCTCTGCTTTAATTTCTGGAGAGCAAAGAGCGAGCAGAAGAGCCCGGACAGCGGCCGCGGAGCTCTAATAGCATTACGGCGGCGGCCCGGGTGTGTGCGAGCCGGCGAGCGCGAGGGGCGGCGGCG